ACAAATGAAAACAGCAACATCAGCAGAAATGGTTCGAAAAGTAACGAAGCGACTTGATCGAAAACCGAAAAATGGCTGAATGAGCTGAACATATTGCAATATTCCATTCGGCAAATATTGAAAAATTAGCTCGGCTTAAAGCCATTGAAATTACAAAAAGTGCAAAAACTTACACCTCAACAGAAAGAAAATAGACTCAAAAGAGCTGAAGAGTAGCTTCGCTTGTTCGAAAGTGGTGAGCTGCCGAATTTGGCAAAATGATCGTGTTTACTTGCCAGAGGTCAGCTGCATATCTGCACATTCGGTTGGCCAACAGAACTCAAGTGCCGGCCATGGTGTTGGTGTGGGCCGCCATAACAGCCAATGGTCGCTCTCCGCTCGTATTAATCGAACGTGGCATCAGAATAAATGCCGAATATTATCGCGAAAATATTCTGGAGAATGTATTAAAGCCTTGGGCACGCAAACATTTTGGCCGCAGACCTTGGACATTCCAACAGGACTCAGCACCATCGCACTCAGTACTCATATTTAAAAAATGAAGTTTCTCCGTGATATCTCCGGATACCAATCCATTGGACTATTTTGTCTGGAGTATTTTGAAAAGCAAGGTTGGCACCAAAAAATACCAAAGTGTCGATCACCTCAAGCAAGCGCTTCGCCGGGAATGGACCAAAAAACCGCAAAGCAGATTCCGTTTGGAGGCCATAATTCGTGCCAAAGGTGACCAATTCTAACAAATCTAAACTTTTTCTAAAATTTAATGCTATTTCCGACAATTTTGCTTCCATTCAAAAAAATATGAAAAAAATTATGGCTTTTGACTTTGTTGCAGTTGTTTTATCTCACCCTATATATATAAAAGAGAAGTGAAATAACAGACTGAGTGACTGATGTAGAAACGTCTGAGACTAGTAAATCGAACATTTTCACGAGGGTCATTCATGCTGCGAAAGCATGTGATACGTCTGGGTTTTTGGAAATTCGTACTAAAAGGGTGTGTAGCAAAAATGTAATACTTTTTGTATTTTACAAACACTTTAAGTTCTTTAAAAAAATAGATAAAAATATATATTTAGTTCTTTAAAAAATATACATAAAAACCACGTTTACTCCTTTGAAAAATATTCACTAAACCACGTTTAGTTCTTTAAAAAATCTTCATTAAAATCACGTTTAGTCCTTCACAAATAATCAATAAAAATCCATGTTCATTGCCCTGAAAGTCCTTCAAAATTCGCCATAATAGCTCTAATAGATCTTGAAAGTTATTCGTTTTTGATATTTGCACTTAGCACTGCTTCAAGAAAGCTCAATCATCCGGACAGTTCAATGTTCCAAAGTTCCAGTTTTGAATATTTCCAACCAACAATAATGATATTAGCTTATTAAATAAGCAATGAAAAGGTCAATTATTTGATATTACTGTGTGTTTTTGCATAGATAATTTTATTATACCCTCCACCTTGGAAAGACCCCATAAAGTATATATATACATAATCAGTATAAACTTCTAAGTCGATTTAACGATGTCCGTCTGTCTGTCTGTTGAAATCACGATACAGCCCACATTATTTGACGTAGAGCGCCAAAATTTGGCAGAGCAATTTGTATTGTGTCTAGGATGGTTGGTATTGAAAAGATATATCGGTCCACGTTCTGGTATAGTCCCCATATAATGGTACCTCCCGATATTCGGTATTTTGATGATTTATGCCACATTTTTTCACTGAATTGTTTGAAAATTGGTATTTGTAGGTCATAACGAGTCCCTGTGCGTGTGGTAAAACATGTCATGTGTAGGTCCACGTTTTGGTATAGCCCCCATATAAAAGCACCTTCCGATATTCGGTATTTTTATTATTTTTGCCACATTTTTTCATGGATTTGTCTAAAAATTAGTATTAGTTGGACATAATGGGTTCCAGCTCCGGTGGCGAAACATTGCATGTAAGGGTCCACGATTTGGTATAGCCCCCATATAACGGTACCTCCCGATATTCGGTTTTTTGATGGTTATTGCCACATTTTTTCACTGATTTGTCTAAAAATTGGTATTTGTGGGTCATCATGGGTCCTAGTTCGTGTGGCGAAACATTGTATGTATTTTGATGATTTTTGACACATTTTTTTTAACAAATTTCTCTGAAAATTGATAGTTGTCCATATAAAACCTCCATATAAAACTGCATTCAAAAAAAAAAAAAAAAAAGAAAGAACTTTATGAAGTTTAAAGATGGGACAAGACAGATTCAAGATATGGCAACCCTGTAAAAGTACCACTGTTGTTATGATATCGTAACAACATAGTTAGCAATGTTAAGCGATTTAAACCGCTTAGGCAATGTGTAATTAATTGGGACAGTCTATGAAATAGAATTTTAAAACCCAACTTTGGGATTTTTCATATTTTTATTTTAATTTTTTTCTACAAATGTGTTTTTTATATTAACATGGTCCTGTCGTGTGCTGTTATTCTAGATAGTATTTTGTCTAGTCTTTACTATTTTAGGTCTTTTTTTGCGTCAAAGACCTAAAACAAAGACATATGTAGAAGTGTAAAGATAGGACAAGACAGAGCCAAAATATGGTAACCCTGTGGAAATGTGGGTTACCATATTTTCACTCTGTCTTGTCCTATCTTTACACTTCTGTGTATTTGTTTGCGTATTTAGTAGAGCTTTACATAACAAAAATGTTTTTATGGGGAATTTGTTTTAATTATTAAATTATAGAAGGTAGAACAAAACTACCCCCCAAATACAATTTCTTTCTTTTGGTGCCCTTATTTTTTGTTTTGAATAAAAAATACAATAATTTGAAATTATTTCAAATTTTGTTGCAAAATAAATGCAAATTATGAATAAGTAAAGCCTACTGTTGCATATTTAAAAGTCTATTTGACACTATAAAGCTGGGAATACATAAAGCGCTTATTTGGCTGGCTTAAGTCATCGGCCGGCTTTTTCGGAAATGAACAAAGGAGTCTTGGGCCAAAATCGAACTAGGTCAACCTAAAACTCCTTTGTTCATTTACGAAGAAGCCAGCCGATGACTTAAGCCAGCCAAATATGCGCTATATGTATTTCCAGCCTAAGACTTCGGCACAGAGTTGCATTTTAATACCCTGCACCATAGTATGGAGGATATATTAAGTTTGTCATTCCATTTGTAACACCTCGAAATATACATTTTAGACCCCACAAAGTATACATATTCTTGATTAGCATAAAATTCTATGTCGATTTAGCGATGTCCGTCCATCTGTGGAAATCACTCTAGCTTCTGAACGAAATGAAGTAGTTTGATAAAATTCTACTCAAATGTATATTATGTCTGCAGGACTTTTGGCATGTAGGTCCACGTTTTGATATAGCCCCCATATAACGGTACCTCCCGATATCCGGTACTTTGATATTAGCGACATTATTCACCGGTATTGTTTCAAATTTTGTATTTGAAGTTCGAAATGGATACTACAGCCCAAGACAGAAAATTGTGTGTGCAAGTCCACGTCCCCCACGTATAGCCCCCATGTAACGTTTTCTTCCTATATTTGTTATTTTGATGATTTTATCTACATTATTCACCGATTCCAGCAATTTGTAAACAAACAAAATGATTGTATTTACTTGAAAATGTGCACCTTCGGTTGGCCACTAGAACTCAAGCGCCGGCCATAGTGATGCTGTGGGCTGCTATAACAGCCGATGATCCTTCTCCGCTCTTATTAACCGACCGTGGCATCAGAATAAATGCCGATTATTATCGCGGAAATATTCTGGAGGATGTATTAAAGCCTTGGCCACGCAAACATTTTGGCCGCAGACCTTGGACTTCCAACTCCAACAGGACTCAGCACGCGCCACCCAAGAATGGTTACAAAATGAGGTTCCTTGCTTCATTCCCAGCACATAATGACCACCAAAATCTCTGGATACCAATCCGTTGGACTATTGGCACTAAAAAATACTAAAGTGTCTATCATCTCAAACAAGCGCTTCGCCGGGAAAGGACCAAAAAACCGCAGACCAACATTCGGGCAGCGTGTGATAGTTTTGAAGGCCATAATTCGTGCCAAAGGTGACCAATTCGAACAAATCTAAACTTATTGTAAAATTTGATTTTATTTCCAATATTTTTAAATTTCTTTCAATAAAAGTTAAAAAAAATGTAAAAGTTATGACGTTTGACTTTGTTACAGTTTTTTATATCACCCTGTAAATGGGAGCTATATTTAGTTTTTCACCGATTATCTCAAATTTCAATAGGATCCGTCCTTGGGCCGAACAAATGACTTGTGCAAAATTTCATCTGGATCGGGTAATAAATGCGAACTGTACTTTGTTTACAAAAATACATGGACAGACAGACGGATGGACATGCATAAATCGACTGAGAATGTGATTATATACAGATCATCAATAGGAACTATGGGTCTATATCGTTTCATTTTGCCCGTTACAAATAAGTGCACAAAGACACCTTCAAAGACCTAAAATGGTAAAGACTAGACAAAATGCGTTCTGAGCAAATGGTTTGTGTCTACACTATCTAGATAACAGTTCATGACAGGACCATGTTAATATAAAAAACACATTTATAGAAAAAAATGACAAACAAAAGTTTGAAAAATCCAAAAATTGGGTTTCAAAATTCTATCCCATAGACTTTTCAAATTAATTGCATATTGCCTAAGCGGCAGTATATCTTTGACACCCTTTGGTGTAGGGTATAAAAAGAAATCGATATTCAATTTGTTTCCTTATATTTGTAAAGGAAATACTTCATTTTTTTCCTATTTATTTTTGTACACTTCTTTCGGGCATATCCTTCTTATTTATCTGCTTCTTTTAATTTATCCAATTTAAGAGTCCTTCCTAATATTTTTTTTTTGCTCAATGTAGTTTCTCTAATTTTCACTGTTTCACGTTTTATCCTTGTTCATATCCTTAGAACACTTGTGATGGACTATTTTTATATTTCGTTTTCACTTTCCTTGAATATCCTTTTCGGTTTTGGAATCAGTTTATTTTGTTAGGTTTTTATGCTCACAACCGCCTTGGTCCGATGACCATATACAACTGTCAGTCTCAGCGACTTTTTCCAAAGTTGTCACAACTATTCCATAAATATGGAATACGAATAATTTGAATAATTTTTGCTTGCATTTTATGTCGAAAGAGAAGAAACGAACACCAGGCGGAAGGTGTAATGTCATGACTTATAGTTTCTATACGAAGCTTAGGACTGTAAATAAATATATATAATACCTTATTTGCTATTTTTTGCATATTTAAAACAATAAACCAGCAAAGAAAGTCTTAAAATCGGGCGGGGCCGAATTTATGATACCCTGTACCACTTTGCTAATTTAGTAGATCTCCACTTAACAATTAAAAGTTTTTATGCACAATTAATTTAATATCGGATAAAGATACATATATATAGGAGCTATATCCAAATCTTAACCGATCTCGATAAAATTCAGCAAAGGTATTCCTGAGCTGAATTTGATATATTTCCCTGAATATCGTTGTTTCGGAGTTCATATTACGGCTGCGGAGGACAAAAATAACAAATCGGAAGAACAATATATATGGGAGCTATAGCTATATCTGAACCGATTTCGATCAAATTTGGCATACTAGCTTCTAGACTCAAATCGGTCGTATGTGCCAAATTCCATCTCATTTGGTCAATTAAAGGTAAATCGGAGGAAATTATATATGGGAGCTATATCCAAATCAGAACCGATCTCCATAAAATTTTGCAAAGATATTTCTGAGCTGTATTTGATATATTTCCCCACATATTGTTGTTACAGAGTGCATATTACTGTTGCGGAGGACAAAAATAACGAATCAGATGAACAATATATATGGGAGCTATAGCTATATCTGGGCCGATATTTGGCATACTTATTTTCAGACCTAATTTGGTTGTATGTGCAAAATTCCATAATATTCGGGCTGATATTACACGTTTTGTGCACAATAAAAGGTAAATCGGACGAAGTTATATATGGGAGCTATATTTAAATTTTGACTGATTATCTCCAATTTCAATAGGGTTCGTCCTTGGGCCAAACAAATGTTGTTTGGAAAATTTCACCTGGATCGGGCAATAAATGGGAACTGTACTTTGTTTACTGAAATACATGGACAGACGGATGGATGGATTCTATGCAGATCATAAAAAGGAACTATGGGTCTATCTCGTTTCCTTTTGCCTGTTACAAACAAATGCACGAAGACATAATACCCTGACCACCTTGTGGTGTAGGCTATAAAAAAAACTAAAGAGTTTCGAATATTTTAATCCGGACGCAATGTGTTATACAATCTATATAAATATAAAAGAGTAGTGAATCTAGAATCTAGCTTTAGCTGTTTTGCCTGGGCATTGATTCGATATTCACTACTCTTATACCCACAAGGTGGTCAGGGTATTATGTCTTTGTGTATTTGTATGTAGCAGGCAAAGGGAAACGAGATAGACCCATAATTCACATTCTGAGACGACCTGAGTCCGTCTGTCTGTCCATGTATTTTTGTAAACAAAGTACAGGTCGCATTTATTGCCGGATCGAGATGAAATTTTGCCCAAGTCATTTGTTTGACCCAAGGACGAACCCTATTGAAATTAGAGATAATCGGTCAAAATTTAGATATAGCTCCCATACATATCTTCGTATGCCAAATTTGATCGAAATTGGTTCAAATATAGCTATAGCCCCCATATATATTTTTCATCCGATTCGATATTTTTGTTCTCCGCAGCCGTAATATGCGCTCTGTAACAACGATATGTGGGGAAATGTATCACATACAGCACAGAAATACCTTTCTCAAATGTCATCGAGTTCGGTTCTGATTTGGATAAAACTCCCATATATATTCGACTGATTTGGTTTTTTTTTGTGCCCCAAACATGTAATTTTACCCCATCGGTATGGAATTTCGCACCTGCGACCAAATTGAGTATAGAAACAATTATGTCAAATTTGTTGAAAATCGGTTCAGATATTTTGGAAATTCGAACTTAAAGGCTACTAAAATGGTACTAAATTTCTAAAATGGCACCATTTGGTATTATGCGAACGGAAAGAGCCCAAAACTTGAAATTTCGTATTGGAATCAAGGTTAGATAGAAAGTAAGTTTTGATATATCAAAATTGTTTCGGAAATCATTAATAAGTGTGCGAAGGGATAAAGCTGAAATTTTTAATTGTGTATTAGTGGTTGGTTTGTGTTAAAATGAAGGTTTTGAAAATGGGTACTACAAGTGCATGAAAAGAACTATATTTGGTATAATTTGGTATTAGGGTCGCTGTTCATGGGTAGCATGGAAATATGGAGGTGATTAAGGAAGTATGTACTCTAATTGTACTAAAATTACTAAATAGTACTAAATTTGGTATTGGCAGAAGGAATATAGCGGAAATCTTACAATTTGATATGGATGTCAATATTGGTGTATGTGGTAAAGATATTGGAAATGTGTACTATGATTGTACGAAAAGTACTGAATCGTACTGAATTTGGTATTAGGTGAAGAGAAAGAGATGCAATTCTGAAATTAGATTATATTGATTACTGATGGTATCTGTGTTTGAGATTCGAAAGTGGTTTAAAATGCATCCTATATTTTAAATTTTCCTTAATTTTGATATTGAAATCTTGGTTTGTATCTGGAATTGAGATATGGAAGTGGTTTTGGAAATATGTACTCTAATTGTACGAAAATTACTAAATAGTACTAAACGTAGTATTGGGTGAAGGAATAAAGCGGAAATCTTACAATTTGATATTCCAAGAAAAAATATTCTTTAAAAATCCACGTTTAAGGCTCGAATATTCCATGGGAAAATATTCTTAAAAATCTGCGTTTAAGGCTCCAATATTCCATGGGAAAATATTCTTAAAGAATCCATGTTTAACGCTCCAATAGTCCAAGGAAAAATATTCTATAAAAATCTACGTTTAAAGCTCCAATATTCAATGGAAAAATATTCTTTAAAAATCAACGTTTATCGCTCCAAAAGTCCATGGTAAAATATTCTTTAAAAATCCACGTTTAAGGCCCCAATATTCAATGGAAAAATATTCTTTAAAAATCCACGTTTAAGGCTGCAGTAGTCCATGGAAAAATATTCTTTTAAAACCCGCATTTAAGGCTCTAATAGCACTTGAAAAATATTCTTTAAAAAAATCCACGTTTATCCACTCTTTAAAAAGCCTCTATGATTGTCCTTTAAAATATTGTTTTGTATTACCAATTAGCTGACTTGAAATGACAACAAAGTATTCTTATTGAAAATTGTATTTTATGAATTTTTGTATTTATTTTTCAAATATTTTTTTGTCTTATTAAATAAGTGTACATTAATATTTTTTGTTTTTTTTTTTTTGGTTTTAAAATTTTCCGATTTTTTTTATAATTAATGTAAGTGTTAAGGATTTTAGAATATTAAATATCCTTAAATAAAACATTCATTATTTGCATAATCTTTATCATTATTATTATTATTATTTAGTTTAGTTAGTTAATAGTAGTTATTATTTTTTTGGTTTTTGTTTCCTTTTAATATAATAAATATATATAGTTTAATATGTCTATATATATAAACTATATAAATTTTTGCATTCAATTAAACAAAATTGAATGGGGGGCCTTCCGTTTATATGTAGGTATGTTTGAATGTATGTATATATGCATGTTAGGTGTGTATATGTATGTAGGTATGGTACGATTTCTAAACGTTGGTTTTTTTTATTTATTATAATTTTTTGGTTATGGAATAGTAGTTGTTGTTTGTTTTTGTTTTTAATTTTATTAAATTTCTGTAGATGTATCAATTTGGTTTATTTTCAATTTTTTTTAGTTTCCTTAATTAATTTCTTATTCAAGCTTAACTTAAATCAACAGCAAGTTGGGCTGCCTTCATTTCTTCTTCTAGGTTAGGTTACGTCGGGGATGTATTTCTTTTTTCTTGTTTGCCTTTCCTTTTGTTGTTTTTTCTTCTTCTTTGGTGTATGTATGTATAAATGAACTTAAGTATATGCATTTTTTTGTTTTAATTATTTTTTTGTTGTGTAAGTTTTTTTCTCTTCATTTTTCATAAAAAATAATTCTAATGGAATCGGTAATTGGTTTTTCATTTTTAATTTATTAATATTATTAATGTATGCTTTGATTTAGATGACCCGGTTGGTGGTTTTGCGAAAAACGTTTTTTTTTTTTGGTTTGTTGGGTTATGGAGTTTATATTTAAATATTTCCTTTTTGTTTTGCTATAGAATTGAAATATTTTTTTTGGTTTTTGATTTTCTTGTTGAATAGTGAATGATTTTTTTTGCGTTTTTTTGTGATTATTTATATATATAAATATGTTTTTATTTATATGAGAAATAATATGCTATGCCTTGATTTTTGTGTTATATTTCCAAAACTATAGTTTCCCCGGTAATAAGTGATGTTGGGAAAACATTCAAATTGAAGATTTTTTATTGGCTCATTTCAAATTGAATGCTTCGGTGGAAAACTATGTTTGGGAAATATTATATACATATTTTTTTTCGGAATATTTTAAGTGTGCAATTATCTTGAAACAGAAATAAAAGTAAAACATAATTTGAATTAAGAAAAAGGATTCAGAGAAAAGGTCAGTTGCGGACATCGAACTTTCTCCAGGGCTCCACAAAGAATTTCGTTAAAGGCGATCAAAGTAGTTCAATTTCGTAACAAAATGTTTGAGTAACAATTTTTAAAAACTGTTTATAAAAAATTGTCTTTTAAAACAGAGCGTTTTTGCGGTCTTATGCCATATTTACGTTAGAACTTTCTGCAGGGTGTACATACTTAAGGAGGATTTATTTTAAGTATAAGTAATGGATATGACAATTTTAATCCAATTCCTTTGGGTTGTCCCATGGTACAATAAGAAGGTAGAACAGCTTCGTAAAACTACAGAAACACAGCCCTGAGGCTATGCCAGATTTCTGTCGGAATTATTCAAAATAATAGGCAACACGTTGTTTTCATTATTTTGACATTTTTTGTTGCTTTCTAAAATGAGTCAAATAGAGCCAAAGTCGAATGAAATGCCTGGATGTTCTCTAAAAAGTATGATCCTAATTGTTCAATCT